GATGGTAGATAGATGGTGATAGTTTTAAAACATTATTGTTCATGTAGATATAACTAGACATAGAATTTTATACTTATGTATGTATATATTTGTGTACTATATTCATATGTGTGTATCTATCTATTGATTTCTTTATCTATGGTCTAAACCAGTAGTCACCAACCTATCAGACCTCACAGACCATCAGTGGTCTGTGAACCACTGGTTGGCGACCACGGGTCTAAACTATATATTGCTACTTTAATCCAAAAGATTGGAAGCTTTTCTAAATCCAGAACTCCAACATTATGTCCTATTACTTTCTATTTTATTGCCTATAATTCAAGGTTTGGTAGAAAAACACAGATTTAGTAAATATTTTTTTTACTAATTTTGAAGTAATTATATACAGTAATTAAAAATATAACATCCACCTTATTTGAAATAATTCACTAAATGTCCAGAAAACTAGAAAGAAGAATGAACAGTCATACAAATTCTATATAATAAAACACTAATATACAAATTGTCCCCTCGACTGGGAGTTCTATTAGGACTTCAACCAGTGGGTAGGGCTGTCCGTCCAAATCATCCCAGTCGGCCCTGATCCAGGCAGGCCAGGCAGACCCCACCTGTGCACGAATTCATGCACCAGCCCTCTAGTGAATAAATAAAACTAAAATGGCCACAAGGTACAGCTTACATTCTTGTTCCTGAACTGAACATTTCTAAGCTGTTAGTATATCCCATAAACATGATAGTTCAGGTTTGAACTTAAAGTCAAAGAATATTAAGGTACTTCTTGTTACAAAGTATTTAGTAATACTTGTTACATAAGTATTTAATAATAGCACTTATGCTATTTTGTTATAGCCTTGTATCCATTCATTTACATATCTTGTTAGGCTGGAGTGATTAGAACTAAAATGTATAGTCAGTATTATTACAATTCCACATTTGAGATTTTAACCAAAATATATCTTTAAGAGAAACAACACAAAAACACATCTTAATTGTGCATTTGAAATACTTCTCAGAAACATGATGCCCAGTTCACAGTCATCCAGCTAGTGGGGATGCTTCGGGGGATAGCATCCGGCATGAAGTACCTCTCAGACATGGGCTATGTTCACCGAGACCTTGCTGCTCGGAACATCTTGATCAACAGCAATTTGGTGTGTAAGGTTTCTGATTTTGGACTTTCACGTGTTCTAGAAGATGACCCAGAAGCTGCTTATACAACAAGAGTGAGTAACTCTTTCCTCCCCTCTTTTATCTTTGTTTTCCACCTTGTATTATGTTGACCCACAAAAATAGAAATCATGTCAATGCTTAGTCATTTACATCTGCCCCAAATGGAAACTTATCCTTTAACAGTATAATATTGTTACTTTTTTGGGAAACTAGATGATCACTATTGATGAGGATGCTAATGATTTTATTCTGAAATCCCCTTCATTGATTTAACGTTTCCCTGAAAAGGACAACAAGATTATCATATGCTTGAAGTTAGTGTGTTTTTTTCATATTTATATTTGAGGCATTTTTAAGTAGACTGTATAAATTCTTAGTATCCTCACCAATATCCATAGCTTTAAAGCATTTTAAAGTAATATTTATATAATAAACACATGTTAATATTATAAAATTTTCAAAACAAAGTGATAAAAAGAAGAAAAGTCATCCATAATTGTGCCACCCACAAATAACATTTGTGGTTTTGTAAGTCAATTCTTCCAGATTTATCCTGCATATATATAAAATAAAGAACTATTATGCAAATGATCATCACGCCCTTGTGCCAGAGCTGCGGGACCTGAGGCTGCACTGCCCACCCCAGTGCCGGGGCCAGAGGACCGGAGACCAGACCAGGGAATCTGAGGCTGCGCCCCCTAACCTATGGGGCTTGATGGAGGGGGCACCCAGGTTTGGGTCTCGTGCAATTTCAAGTGCACATGGGTGGGCAGGTACTTGACTCTGGGTTCCATGGCACCCCCCCAGACTCTGACAAGAGGGAGATTTTCATATACATTTTACTAATTTTCTTTCATCTCTGACACTTCTATTATAGAGAAAGAGTAAATAGCAATATTCAAATATTTCCTCTAATTAATTCCCTTTTAATTTGCATGAACTTCGTGCACCAGCCCACTAGTGTGTGTGTGTGTGTGTGTGTGTGTGTGTGTGTGTGTGTGTGTGTGTATACTAGAGGCCTGGTGCACAAAAATTTGTGCACTCGGGGGGTAGGGGGGTCTCTC